GAACATCTCAACCCATCAAGGGCACTGGCTCGGTCCATTGCATTCCATTTGTTATCTTGTCATCTGTATTGCATGTTCCTTCGTTTCCAGTTAACTTACTCTCTGTTAGTTCTCTCATTGATCAATTAAATTGCATTGTGTTATTTGATCGGGATATGTGTCTTCCAGGAGAAGGAAACGGGGAGGAGGATTGGGACTGGCATCAGGCGTGATGGCGTTTGGTATTTGTACATAGAGACTACAATGATTGCTGCTGCTGTTAGTGAAGGACCAGAGGCAGAAGCAATGCTTCAACATTACCGATTAGGACATTTATCTTTTGATAGTTTGAATAGGTTAGAACCTGAGATAATGAAAAAAGTGGATAGAAAAGAGTTATTTTGTAATGCTTGTGAACTTGGAAAACATACTCGCTCTACTTATAAAATGATTGGTCTTCGAAGTTTTGAACCATTTGCACTTATCCATTCTGATATTTGGGGGTCATGTCCTACTACCTCTATTAGTGGTTTTAGATGATTTGTTACTTTCATTGATTGTTATTCACGTATGGTCTGGATATACATGATGAAGCAGAAATCTGAGGTTTACAAATGTTTTCAAGATTTCTCGGCTTATGTAAAGACACAGTTTGGAGTGCAGGTGAAGATTCTTCGAACAGATAATGGGACTGAGTATGTCAACAAGGAGTTTGTGGCATTCATCTCTAGTCACGGAATTCTTCATCAAACCACTTGTCCAGACACCCCTGTTCAGAATGGTGTGGCTGAACGCAAGAACATGCATCTACTAAAAGTGACACGCTCATTGATGTTGATAATGAATGTGCCTAAGTTTTTATGAAGTGAGATTGTTATGACAGCAGCTTATTTGATCAACAGGATGCCATCAAAAGTATTAGGGATGAAGACACTATGTGAGATGCTCTTGGGCTCGAATGTTTTCGTTGTTCCACCAAGAGTGTTTGGATGCACATGTTATGTGAGAGATCGCAGATTAACGGTGAGTAAACTGGATCCGCAAGTAGTTAAATGTATCTTTATTGGCTACTCATCAAGTCAAAAAGGATACAAATGTTAGTGTCCCACTGAAAGAAGGTTGTTTGTTAGTATGGATGTGACTTTTCGGGAGTTCGAACTTTTCTATGGGGAGAAGACGGAGTTGAGTTCCTTGTTTGGAGATGGCTCTACTGATGCTAGTAGAGAGTGGGAGAATGAGAATGAGAATGGCATCGTGGTTGGAATGATTCCATGTCCTCTTGAGTCACCGAGTAGTGATGGTACATCGCCGAGTAGTGGTGGCGACTCAGGAGTTGGCAGTCAAGGTCAGGGGGAGCTGAGAGTATACACGAGGAGACAGAAACAACAGCATGAGCCACCTCCTGTGCTTGTGCCAGTACCCATAAATGTTGATATCCCAAGTCCCTCCTCTCTAGTGCCTTCCTCATCTTCTCCACCTGAGTCGATAGGTAACAATTCCTTCCCTGATACTTCTAATACTCCTGTCTTGCCTCGCGGAACCTCTAGAGTCAATATTGGAAAACCTCCAGCTAACATTACGAATTACATTTCATATGCATCCATTCCACCTGCATATAAGTCATTCATTGCATCATTGTATTCAGTACCTGTACATTGGCAGATAGCTAAGCAAGATTCTAGGTGGTTGAGTGCTATGCACGAGGAACTTCAGGCCTTGAAGAAGAATGACACATGAGAGCTGATACCTTTGCTAGCTGAGAAGCGTGCTGTTGGATGTAAGTGGGTGTATACGGTTAAGCAAACTCCAGAGGACAAGATCGACAAATACAAGACCAGATTGATTGCTAAAAGCTACAGCCAAACGCATGACATTGACTATGACGAGACATTTGCTCCAGTAGCAAAGATGAGCACTGTTACAGTGTTGGTGTCATGTGCTGTCAACTTCAATTGGCCACTACATCATCTAGATGTCAAGAATGTCTTTTTGCATGGAGATCTCCAGGAGGAGGTGTATATGGAGATTCCACCAGGCTTCGCTACTTCTCAAGTAGCTAGGAAGGTGTGCAAGTTGAAGAAGTCTTTGTATGGGTTAAAATAGTCTCCGAGGACATGGTTTGACAGATTCAGGTTGGCAGTCTGTGATATGAGGTACAAGCAGTGCAATAGGATCATATTGTGTTTTACAGGCACTCCAAAACTCGTATTATTATCTTGGCGGTCTATGTTGATGATATTGTAATCACTGGAGATGATCCTGAGGAAATCCTACGGTTGAAGAAGGAATTGGAAGAGGAATTTGAAGTTAAAGATCTGGGACGGTTGAAGTACTTCCTCGGAATTAAAATTACAAGGTCAAGAAAGGGTATAGTCTTTCTCAACGGAAGTATGCTCTGGATCTTCTCTTAGAGACAAGGATGTTAGGGTGTAGAGTTGCATCTATTACTATCGAGCAGAATCATAAGATGTGTGCCGAGGGTGGTGACCCGGTGAGTAAAGACTAAAGAGCAATATGAAAGATTAGTTGGACGACTTATATATTTATGCCATACGAGACCTGATATTACTCATGTAGTGAGGGTGGTGAGTAGATATATGCATGATCGTAGAGAGCAGCATATGGAGGCAGTTCGCAGAATTCTTAGGTATATTAAAGGAAGCCCAGAAAAGGGGTTATGGTTCAGGAGTTCTGAACATTTGAGAATTGAAGGCTATTGTGATGCTGATTGGGCAGGTTGTATGGATGATCGTAGGTCCACTACAGGCTATTGTGTATTTGTTGGAAGCAATCTCGTATCTTGACGTAGCTCGTATCTTGGCGTAGTAAGAAGCAAGATGTGGTGGCTAGATCTACAGCTGAGGCCGAGTACAAGGCTATAGCAGTTAGTCTATGCGAGTTGATGTGGGTCAAAAACATATTATCTGAGCTGCGCTTGTTTAGAAGAGACTTCTTACAACTTTGGTGTGACAACAAATCGACGATTAATATTGCAAACAATCCTGTTCAGCATTATCGGACCAAACATGTAGAGATTGATCGGTTCTTTATTAAGGAGCAACTGAATAGAGGAGTTCTAACTTTGAGCTATGTGAAATCAGAAGAGCAATTAGCTGATTGTTTAACAAAATGATTAGGTTCTAGAGAGTATGATATCTTTTGTAACAAGATGGGGATGATTGACATCTATCGCCCATCTTGAGGGGGAGTGTTGGGTTATTTAGATAGATTAAGTTAATTAGTTAATGTTGTAAGGACCTATTTGTAAGAGTGCATTAATATAAAAGGGTACCTCTATGAGAGTAAATACCCTAATTTTCACCCCAAAACACTTCACACACACACACACACACACACACATATATATATATATAGAGAGAGAGAGAGATTTCTTACATTTTTAATTTAAAAAGTTTCTAAATCAACAGAAATCATTTGTTGTATTTTAACTTTACCACATATAAAACTGAAGATATCATCAACGCATAAAGTTACTTAACACTCTTACAGAAGGGTGGAGTGTCGCCTCGCAGGGTGGGTGCTGATAATAAACCTAAGATCAACGGATTGTAAGGAGATTGAGTAGGGAATGGGGCAACCAGTGTAGAAAATAGCGCGTTTTGTAGCGCAAAATAGCGCTTAACGTAACGTAGCGTTAACCTAACGCTACATAGCGTTTTCAAATAGCGCACGGACAAAATAACGTGCGCTATTTTAGCCATAGCGTAAGCTACGTAACGTAGCGTCTTGGCGTTTTGTAACGTAGGTTATTTTGTTTAATAGCTTGGATTGCTTTTAAAATAATTCAACGGCTGTGATTGACTCTCCCACTTCTCATAAGTTATTAAATTCTAACAAAACCCTAACTCTTGCTGTCATCGTCGTCTCCCGCCGCCCCTTTCGACATCGTCGTCCTCTCCCGCCATTCAACTTCTGAAATTAGCAAGGTAAATACATAATACAATCTTGAATACTGATAATCAGACTATGTTTCACACTTAAAGCCATAAAAATTAATATGTGTGGAAGGGTGAGCTTGACTTGTTCCCAGAAGTTGCCATTGTTTTACTCTTTAACATGATTAGCGTGAGAAATTTGATCCATTTGGCTGGAACACACGATGTTAGGTTTCGGTTAGTTATTGATCTATCGTCGAATTTCACCTTCGGATTGATCGTTAAGGCAAACACGGTTGATTTTGTTGTGAAATTGTGATCATATATTGATTTGTGAAATTAAGAATTGCGATGATTATTCATATTTTTTATTTTGAATGTTATATATCTATAAATTATTTAAATAATAATAAATTATTTAACCTACGTTACGCTATGCGTTATCGCTATTATAACCTAACCGGAGGTAAGCGTTACGCTATGCGTTATCGCTATTTTCAACATTGGGGGCAACATATAAGTCAATTTTAAATCGCACTGTTCTGTACAAAATGACCAAGCTATTGCATACCTCAAGTAACACAGATGTATAAGCAAGTAAGAGTGTGCAAATATTGGATTTTTTTGAGGGATGTGCAAATATTGGATTACTTAAATGTAAGAGCGAACTAGGTCAATTAAGTGTTAGGGCCCCCTACTAGTTTACATGTGTGATAGCTATAAGTAAACAATAGACTGCACTAGATATTAAATAGTTTTTTAAGAATAACTGGAATCATGTATCAGGTACGGTTGCAATCCTATTGTAGCTTCATCCCATTGTCGTTTTGTAAATAGGCAGACAATACATTAAGTTTTAAAACTTCTATGGAAGATCACGTAAACCATCTAGAGGTTATAAACAAATATAGATGTTTGTTAATCTTGATTCTAGTACTCATAAAAACCTGATAATTTTTTACTTTGATTGATAAGCTTAAGAGAGCTCTCACCTTTTAGCAAGAAGAAATACTGTAAATACAAAATAGGAATGTGCTGAAGTGAATTTTGATGCATAATGTATACCACAATTCATAATTGCACATGAAATAATAGTTAGAGAGATCATTCAAAATGGTAACATACATTGACTAGGATCATATTGTCCCTTCGGGTTAGTTGCACCAAACACAATTGTCCGAGTACTCAAAGTAGTGACAAGGCCAGCCTGAAAATGATCAAAATTAACAATCTGTAGTCAACACAATCTTCAGACTATATGAATAAATTCTTAAAATATAAACAACGAAAGTTTTGGGCAGCATTAGCACTATGAATTTTAAATGCATTGAATATTTTAAGAGCATGTAGAAGTTTACAATTTAATAATTATAATATAGGTGTAGGAAGATATACATATTCAATGCCCTATAAGAAGGATTACATTATTTCATGTATACTTTGCTATAGTTGCAGTGTACGAATTCATCATCATGACTGTCTAAACATTTTCCCACGTAAGATCGGCTTAACAGAAGAACCATAAACCGGGAAAGATATATGGTATAGAAAAGATCAGCTAATTATGACCAGATACAGAAGAGACATCAACCTCCTCCAAAGAATCCCACAGGAACAAATAGTGAGCATAAATTGGGACTCTCTAATTGAGATTGATGTCCAATTGGGATAAAGAAACCTTATGAGGAAAAAGAACAAGCCTCCAAAATTCTCCTAGAAGACGAAAGAGTTGAGGGGAAGAGAGAAAGCAATCAGCTTGGATACAACAAATTGTAGCAAATTTTGACGCAAATGCATGCCTAGAAGCTAAATTGAAACGGTCAGTTGCATACTTTCAAGAGTATCAGATGCGCTGGTTATTTGGAATTTGAAGCAATTTAGTCTGTAGAGACATTTTATTCAAGTAGCGACTGTTTATTCTGAAGAGATATTGAACTTGAAGAGAATTTGTTGTTGTCTAGTTCGTAGCAGACAGTAATGATGCTCACCTTATATAGCATTCTAAATTACATTACTAAAAATTTGCTTTACAGTCCGTTCACTTAACATATAAGAAACCAACAGCTCTCCGGANCTTGGATAATCCTAAATGCATGAATGAGAAGTTTAAAGATATTCAACGCTGCCCATGCTAAATAAAGACTGACCAAACAAGGGGTTAGCTCTCCACCAAAGTTAACTAGCCTCTAAGTCTACTCAGTTACTTGGTACTTCCAAAAAAATTTAAGACTTGAGAAGATCCCATGATTCCTAAATGGGGGGAAAAAGATGCTTAATAGGTTACTTTCAGTTACAGACAAACAATTCCAAGATAAAACAGTACATAACAAAATACTGTTAAATATTTCACTACTGTAAAAAATATCTGTAGAATAGTAAATGTATAGTAACTTCTGCAATCAAGAAAAGCCAGAAGTTGCGACGTACCTTAGCAACACTTATGGTTTGCTGCTCCATCGCTTCGTGTATGGTTGCCCTGTCATGCTCTCTCATACTATACACATGGCAGACAATATAACGTTGTCTTAGATCTCACAATAAAGTAGGTTCCGAGAGAGAGAGAGAGAGAGAGAGAGAGAGAGAGAGAGAGAGAGAGAGAGAGAGGGGGAGAGAGAGAGAGAGAGAGAGAGAGAGAGAGAGAGAGAGAGAGAGAGAGAGAGGAACAAAGGAGATGCTTGATAAATTTCCTTGAAACTATAATAATTCATATAAAAAAAGCTGTAAAATACAGAATTACTTCTTGCAAAATCTGCTGCGCTCCATCAACACTTGGCGGGTACTTGAAAAGTTGAAATAGTGCCATAAGAATACTTTTAAGAAGGTTAGAGTTGACACATATAGCACATGTATGCTAAAGGCAGGCAAGAAGTTGTAAAATACAGAATTACTACTTGCAAAACACTTGACTGGTTACTTGAAAGTTGAAAATTTGAAATGATGCCATAATAATATACTTTTAAGAAGATTAAACATGTTGCGCATGTATGCTAACGACTGCAGGAATGGAGGGAACAAGAAATGAAATAGAAGACTGAAAATATATTACAAGAAAAAAAGGTTTAACAAAGATGATTTGTAACAACCAGAGTGAAGGAGGAAGAAATAGAACAACATAAACAAGAGGTCATAGACAGCAATAAATGACGATCTTCATTTTGGAAAACTGTAAACAATTTTAAGACATTGGGATTCTTGGAGGGAAACCTGTCAAATTCATCTATGCAACAAAGTCCTCCATCAGCCAAAACTAGAGCTCCGGCCTCAAGCATCCACTCCCCTATCGTTGAAGAAATTGTTAATGTTAGATATTTTGTTAAGAAAAGACAATTTTGCCTTCATGAATAGTAATAAATTTTTTATAATTTAAACCATGTCTTAATTAGCAATTATTTATATGTGTAACGGATATATAATTATGGGGAACGTTACAAAATTTATGACGAACGTTACAGAATTAATTATGGGTTTTGTAACGTCTTTTCCAACCCTATATATATATATCCATATGTTGAGCTCAAAAGATATAAGAAAAATATACAACAAGTTTCTCTTGTTTTTCTTCTCTCCCCTACATATTATTTTCATCTACATCTTAGTTTTATTTTATGGGCAACTTCCTTCATCTGAGCTGAAGCTCTGCACTCTCGCCCGAGTGTAGAGGCCGGCCGTTTCCGGGGGTTTTTACCGCTAGGGGGAGGGAACCATCTGCGCCAGGGCGATAGGCGGGTTCTCAATCTTCTAGGGCAGTGTTTACATGACTGCTCCCGTCAGGCCTGTTTCTCTAATTTATATTATCTATCTTTGATGTATTATTTATTTAATTTCCGGGTTTAAATTCATGCTATAATCTTTATTTATTTGATAAATTTCCAACAATCTAGAAGATTGAGTAGTTTATAGCTTTGATTTAAATCTGAAATTATTTTAAAGTTACTGTTCATTCGAGATGGTTACTGTTCATCCGAATTTAAAAAAAAAATTGCTACTAAATTGCTTATCTATTAATTAACTTTTTGTTAAAATAAAAAAAAACAGAGGAATTTTATAGTTGTTGTTAACACAAAGAAAATGTAATTGCTTTAATTATATATTTGGAATTTTATAGTTGTTGTTAACACAAAGAAAATGTAATTGCTTTAATTATATATTTGTTTATCTATTAGTATTATTGATTTGATGTTATAAAATTTGAAAAAAAATGTAACTGTTACTGATCATTCCAAAAATAAAGATTTTACTGTTCATTAAAAAACAGTTTTTAATTTTATTTAAAAACATTACTGTTCATTTAAAACAGTTTTTGAATTTTTTTTAAAAACTTTACTGTTCATTTATTTTAATGAACGTTACTGTTCATCTTTAAAAAATGGTATTACTATTCATTCATTTTAATGAACGTTACTGTTCATTTTTTAAAGGATGTTACTGTTCATTATTTATTAAAAAAACGTTATTGTTAATTTAAAAATAGTTTTAATGTTCATTTTATTTAAAAAAAATCTGCTTAATGCTTACATATAGCACTGTTCATCAGAGAATTATTTTTTTTTTAATTCATAAAAATATAATTACTGTTCTATGAAAATTTGGTTTCTAAAACCTACCATTATCCCCTTGTGCTAGTGAATATGCACGCATTTGACACATGCTATAAATTTACAGCAATGCACATTTTTATTCTTGAAAATTTCATAGCATGGTTTTGACAAGAATAAAGAGAACAAACTCTGGATGCATAAATGTTTTGAAATATCTGGATTTTTTCATGGTTTAATGCTTTTATTTCTTTAACCTATCAATATGGTACCTTCTATTATTAATAATTCCATACTTTAGTGTATTTATGCATCTAATAAGCTTAGTACAGAAGGTGGTAAAAGTGAATGCAGATTTGTTCAGCAACTTAAGTGGCAGTTGTCTGCAGCAGATGAGTTTTTACTCTCAAGACATGAAAATCATGAGGTTTGAACATCAATAGGTAAACCCCTCCTCGGCCTTATCCATCATATGTTTGCAGTATAGTTACTAGGCAAATTAAATGCTTGCAGGAAATAATTTAAAGTTTCTATATACTGTTAAGGAACAAAAACTCATTGAGTGAACCGATTCAAGTTTTTTTGGATTAGTTGGTGTCTAAGGCAAGGTTTAAGGGTTGCGTAACGCGCTCTGCAAGGAACGAGGTACTTAATTGATCTTTGATCAACCTCTATTACTATCCTTACCTGGCTAACTACCCGGGTAAAACTTTAATCTTTTCACTTTAGGAGTTTTTGGTTTGGAATAAGAGGACCGGAATTATGAGAACAATTCATATGCATTTATTTAATTACGCTTCTTGCATCATATATTGCCTAATGATAAATGATCAATATATGCTTCTTGCATCATATATTGCCTAATGATAAATGATCAATATATGAGCGAACCAAATCAAAGTGGTGCATCTTTTAAAATTCTATTTTATATGGTGGATTATATTTCAAATCTTCAAATGTAAAGTTCATCACTTTTATTGCATTTTGATGAATATTGCAATAAATGTTCATATGTCTTTTTAGATAACTTGCATTTGTTACATGATTAATTACAAGGTTTTATGCAAGAATGCACTTGTAAAATTTAAAGCACGTATGTACAAATATTATTATTATTATTATTTGTATAAGAGGTGGTACTAGAAAATGGCAACATAAATCTGGAAGGTCTCCTTTGTAGACAACCAATTTAAATTTGGAAGGTCTCATTTGTAGGCAACCGATTTAAATTTGGACGGTCTCCTTTGTAGGCAACCAATTTGTAGCCTCTTATAATAGAATAATTTAAAATTTTACGCATTTGAATTATGAAGTATGAAATATATTTTAAGATACGAAATCCTATTATGCTCTGCATGTATCTATTATTAATTTCATTCATGTATGTGCATATGCATAACTGCAGAATTTTTAGTTCCACATTAGTTTGAAATGTTCAGATATTAAGGTCAATCTCTTCAGACATAGACTATGATCTTTTATGATCATAGATCATGACCTAATGTCAATTTCAAACAATATGATGGACTAATTACAAAATAAGAACTTGATAAATAAATACAACGCCTGCTAGGCAAAGTTATGATTCTAGACTTTGTAAAGTCTGTGAAAAGAATCTTGATGACCCTTTGACTAAGGGATTATCCAGGAGTGTGGTTCTGGATTCATCGAGGGAGATGGGGTTAAGCCCATAGATGAGGTCACTGACAGCGGCAACCCAACCCTTATTTGGAGACGTAGTCCCAATGTCGGTTCAATGTGGTAGAAACAAGCTGGACTAGTGACACTCGTGTGGAGCATCGACCTAGATATATTTATATATCATTATGTAGCATTTGCTACTACCCCTTCTCTATGATGACGATGCTCTTATGATACAGCTGGCTAGGCTGAGTTTTACTCTTAATAAGTCCAACGCGTGTATTGTGGGGGGTATTAAATAAACAGCTGTAGTACCCTTTGAGGACTTACCTACGTGAGAGGAACCGTGATGGCCGCGGTTAGGGGGGGCTGGGCTAACCCCTAGAAACTCTCATGAGTCGGTTTATTGTGAGCATGGCCTTTAACGCTCAACCCGCTTTGCTCAATAGATGAAGCGTATTGTGTGTGTTTTCATCAATACCTGATTAAAGGGGCCTAATTCAAGGCCTAGTCCATTATGTCCCTCAGGTGGCGATGAACTCACTAAGGAAAGGTTCAAAGCCGAAAGCTACCTTTCCCGAATTCACGATACGTAAGGTTGCCCAACCTATATTTATTTTATGATTTCTTGATTTATTTATTGATTATTGATTACTGAGTTTTCAGTTAATATTGCCTTTTGGGGGGGACTGTTGGATATTTTTAAAGAAAAGGCAATTTTGCCTTAATGAATTCTAATAAATTTTTGTAATTAAAATATGCAATTAAAATATGTTTTAATGTGTTTTAATTTGTAATTAAAATGGGCATAATGACTCTGAGCTGAAGCTCTGCACTCTCGCCCGGAGTGTAGAGGCCGGCCGTTTCCGGGGGTTTTTACCGCTAGGGGGAGGGAACCATCTGCGCCAGGGCGATAGGCGGGTTCTCAATCTTCTAGGGCAGTGTTTACATGACTGCTCCCGTCAGGCCTGTTTCTCTAATTTATATTATCTATCTTTGATGTATTATTTATTTAATTTCCGGGTTTAAATTCATGCTATAATCTTTATTTATTTGATAAATTTCCAACAGTTAAGATGGTATAATATATAGTCACAAAGATGTGGAATATACACTTCTGAAACCAACTAAAAGATGAAGCCCAGAAGCTTCAATAAGCCGAGTGTTCCATTTAACATTAAAAAGCCCAGAATAACAAACTAAATTGGTGAATGTGTTATCTAGAAACTGGAATTCAATATCAACAGCATTGTATTCACTTGTTGCAGTCAATAGGTCATCACATATCATGGCCTTCTTGCAATATATTTTGGGATGCCAATCTATGGCTTGCTGGTCCCAACTCTATACTAACATCAGAGCTGCAATTAAGATCCTAAATATAACGTATTTTAGATGTTTCATGGATAACTTTTTGTTAGTGAACATGGGGTTATGGTGTTCTTGAACCATCTTAAAGAGCTCTCATGTGCTGTATTGAAACGAGTCAGTACCCACACTTTCGTCGTCTCATCCTCTCAAGCACGTATTAACAGTATACTCCGAGTTTCTTTATAATTCTTGAAATGGAAGATTTTTGTTCAGATTTTTTAGTCTTTTTGACTTAAAGGGTGTTTCCTTCATTTCATGGCTATGAAATGGAATAAATCATAAAATAGACAAACGATCAGCTCCATGTAATGATAGATTTGCAATTGCATTGAGTATTTGGCACAGCTCGAAGATGTTGGATATCATGTCCCCATGATATAATTTTGATGATAACAATTAATTCATAATGTGAATCACTATGTGTATGTACTAACATTTCAATGTAGTTATCAACATGAACAAAGTACAAGATGAGTTCAAGGCATCAAGAAGTAAAGAAGATGAAAAGCTTATATATCAATGTAATTTTTTACATTTTCTTTACTTAGAAATTTTGTGCAAGCCTTGATCATTCACACATACACACACAGAGAGATTAGAACACACTAACACAAGCTTAGTGTGTTGGTTAACAATAGAAATCCCCTATGACCATTAGAGTATTTAGTTAATCATTGAGTCTAAAAATATTTCATACATGACATTTTCACCCCTTAGTAGTCGACTAATTAGATTAGTAGTCGACTACTGAAGTCTTAGATTAAAATATAAGTTTTTGTAAAAATACAGAATAGTCGACTACTAAGGATTATAGTCGACTACTCAGCTTCGAATGTTGAATTCCAGATTCTTTGTTTTACAGAGTAGTCGACTAATGACAATAATAGTCGACTACTAAGGAAAATTCTGAGTTTTCTGAAGTTTGTTGAACTCAAAGTAGTCGACTACAACAATAATTAGTCGACTACTAAGACGGTTTTCTAACATTTCAGAATTCAAATTAATGACAGTTTATAGCCGTTTTGTGTACGTTTTTAGGGTTTGAAAACCTATCTTTTCAAGGCTATAAATATGATACATGTTCAGAATTTTGGGTCAGGAATTCCTACACATAAAATTCAAGTTTTGTGCATCTTTCAAAAGAAATTTTTTTAGATTTTCACTAAGTGTTGAGAAAAATTATTTTCTGATTTTGCCTTTGATCCTCATTCAATATACAATCAAGTTAGGCAATTTTCAGAGATTCAAAACGTTCCTAGCCACTGCTACACATCATAATACTATCAAGGCTTATAGGAATCAAGTTGTATCAAGACAAGTGTTCTCTCGGGTGTGAGTGGTGTAATCTCTTGGTGAAGAGATTGGGTGTAATTTGCAGGAACTTGCAAATTGGTCAGATTTGATGTTTTGATTTTGTAAGTTTTTCAAAATCATAGTGAAACTCTCAAGCGGGATTTGCTTGGGGACTGGATGTACACCTGAGAGGTGGAGCCAGTATAAAATTCTGTGTTTGTGATTGTTATTTTCTGTGATTGTGCTATTTCTTTGCAAATTATAATCTTCTTTGCATTAATTTTTAAAAGAACACTATTCACCCCCACCCCCTCTAGTGTTTTATTGTGATTGGATCAGATCTAGTGTTTTATTGTGATTGGATCAGATCCTACAGAAGAATCTTTTGAAAATACAAATACAAGATGAAGATTTTTTGATTTTATAGATGTGTGTCTTCACATGAGGAGCTTGCATGGGTAGGACCAACAATGTGGGTTCTTTAGCCAAGTGGTTAACCATCTTCTTGGTAGAGCAACATACAGAGGGAGTCAGCTGTAAATTATTCTATTTGGCACATGTATACCCATTATTCATTTGATGAAATATGTTAATTACTTCGTCAACAAGGAGGGTTCATGTGATCATGCTCTTTATGCTTCAATCCATGTTTGCCTTAAAATCTCTTACATCAAGTCAAGTTAAAGGTTAAAACCCACAAGCACTAGGTGTATGCCAATGTAATAATCCTTGATATGGATTTAAAATGCAAACTGGTTAACTATGCTTGTTTTGAAACTTCATCGCAACTTTCACACAGTGCCCAGATATGCTATTCTGTTTTCACTTCAAATGTGAGTGGATTTTGAACAAGGATAATATGAACCTGGAAACACCAATAATAACTAAATTTCGGAACACATAACATAGAATTAAGAAACAAAACATAGCAGTAAGAAACAACCTCCATCCTTGACAGCAGTTACAGTTAAGCCAGCACTGGTGCTCCCCAACCCAGTAGTAATCACTGACCGGTTGCTTAATTTAGCAGCAAACTTCAAAAACTGGGACTTGCCAGTGCCTGGGAATCAATGGAGACTAAATGAGAGTTCCCCTTCCTAATAAGAGGACAATATTTCTTGTAAAGACCATAGCATTTATTCCGAATGCAAAATTTACCAAATCAGCAACGAGTACAGCTGCACAAATAACTAATATAAGAGTGTATATGGTATGAGAACAAACTGCCAATTCAGGTCTTCATTAATGAAGAATATAACAGATGATGGTATTCTACAACACTATGCACTCACCTTTAAACATGACAACTACTGAACTAATTTTTTCCAGATGTTTGAAGGAATCATTCTTCATAATAATACATATTAAGGCCTCCCTACTAGTGTGCCCTTTTCAGGATTTCATAAAGTACTTTTATGAGTTTCTACGAACTTCTTTAAAATTTCATGTCAACTAAGTCTTTTCCATCTCATCTTTGACCCTCTAATCCCATTCACAGAAACCATAGTTACACGGTACGCGGTACGTAGTGGGTCACGGTACAAGTTCAGGTACGCAATTCGACACTTAGAAAATTTGGATTCATTAGGGGTAGCTTGCTTCGGTACGCAATACATTATAATTTTTTTTAGGGTGTGCTTAAAGTTTTCCAAAGTATGTAGTAGAAAACTAGAAAGCTAATTACGAATTTTAATATTTTTTTATATAAAATACTTAAATACTTCTTTTTGATGAATTTCGTTTCTTTGTTCTGTTTTTTTTTTCACAAAGCTGAGAGCTCGTTTTAGGATCATGGTTCTATTTTACATTTAATTAACATGCATTTTAAGTTACAGTAAAATCATCAACTCATACACTCTATTATGTGTCTCCCTTCACTTAATCGCATGCATTGCATTGCGTCTTGCGCATGTGCACTTAAAGAGACTTTGCATCTAGCATACTTGTAAGTGGTACGCTAATTTTGGGGAACCGGTTCGTGTATCAAAGGGAATCGATTCGCAAATGTATCAGGAATCGGTTCGCAAGAACTGTACGATGGTTCGCGGGGGATCTGGGGAATCACACAACGATGACAGAAACCATTCTAGCACTTGTCATCCTCAACCCCACCATGAAAACAGCTTTGTCATGACTTGAATTGGTCAAATCTTAAACTCATTTAGATGCACACATCTTCATCTATCCGTAGCTGAATCATACACTAACATACACCTTTGTGAACTTCACTGCTGGTTATACAAGACCTTGTACCACATAATTAATACTATATACACATATGTACAGGTGAGTGCACCATGCATTCCAGAAAATTCTGCACCATGAAATCAACCCCATACATCTTTTATGCTATTTTCTCCTCGTATTCTGTTTGTTTGGTTACATTAGTTCATGGTCCTTGTCAGAGAGGCTCTTTGACTGGTCCAAATCATAATTTTGGCCTACATAATACTTCAGAGTTCAGACAGAACATTTTATTTTAAGGGGAAAGGTGTTAAATTCCAGGTAGAAACAAAAGAAGAAATTATTTCATTAAGTAAAGAACTTAAGTTTCTTTAGATGATATTCACAGTAAACTGGTGATTGTGCAGGGAAGAAGCAAGATAGAAGATAATGGAACAACTTGCTTTGCAACATTGCTTGGAAATATCATAAAGGAACACTAGTGAAGGCATTTGCAGCGGAAGAGCTAGTGGTTCTATGTACAATGATCTAGAAAGAACAAAGGTCCAATTATGTGAAACTGAAATAGCAATGTTCAAAAGAATAACAAAGGGACATCTAGATATGAATACCAGAAAAGTTTTTTTCCCTTTAGGTGGTTAACACAATGTTGGGAGGTAATTCTTCTAATATGCTGGTGAAAGGAATGCCTCAAACTTGCGACCATCATGCCACATTTTACCAAAGTCTGCTCATTTTTTTACCAAACGAAAGTTATATTCATTCAAGTACCATGTGCAAGAACTCTGGGCAAGGGCCCAACCATATACAAAGAAGCATAAGGTCGTGGCCCATGGTCGACGACAAGAGAAAAAAAGGAAGTCAAATGGCTACTGAAAGATACTGGATGCAAGAGTCTAACAAGCAGAAGACAACGAATGCAGATTGAAAGAGTATATGCTTCAACCAACAGAGATACCTGGATCACCAACAAGAAGAAGATGAGATTCTCCACGAACCTTTGTCCCAGAAGCATCAATATGTTGGACACCTCCAATTAGCGTCAATGCAACTAAAATTTTTAGATGTGGTCAGAATCATTGAATATATATCTTAATCAATTTAAGGCAAGCATAGAAGGATGTAGGTTCTCTTTTCCTTCTTTTTACCTTGAAAGCGTGTGCGGAGGGGAGTATTTTTTTTCTGTGCATGTGCATGTGCATGTGCATGTGTGTGTGTGTGTGTGTGTGTGTGTTTTTTTTTTTTTTGGGGGGGGGGGGGGTTTTTTTTTTTTTTTTTTTTTTGGGGGGGGATTTCAATAACAAAAGACTGAAATATCAAAATTCAGTTACCTGCAAGCTTCACTGTGAAGAGACCAAAAAGTTGAGGGCAGATTCCTTGCAGAATACAGTTCCTACCTGACATGATCATCAGACTAAATCAATTAAACTTAGTGGGAAAAAAAGGAATTGATCGGAGAGACATTCCTCATAGATAAAAGGAAAGAAGAACGGAAATTTTTCATCAGAGAGACAGGAAGGAAACAAAATAAACTGTTCATTTAAACATAAAATGCCACTACATCAGTCGCTATGTAAACAAGAACATATTCCATATGGCCCACAAAAAGATTTAAGAAGATAAAAGAAAGTAGAACAGAATGAAAATTTTTGCTGTTAGTTAATTTTACTGGTAGTTCATCTTTTTCAAGGTGATACCAAAACATAAAAGTACTAAGGATGCTAATTAATACCTTTTAGTGGAGTGTCCTTGAAATCTGACCAAAACTGCTCAAATTTCTTGATAACATCATGAGGGATATCAATTTCTGACTTTATTTCATTGGTTCTCCTGATAACCAAAATACTGTAAATTCTAAGAACTATAGGTGCAGGCATGTATAACATTCATACTAAGGCCACAAAATAACAACAAACTCATGTTCGCACAATACAGACTAGCATTTGACTACAAGAAAGTGTAGAAGTTATAAATATTGAAATGAATGCTAAAAACAAGTAAAATAATAGGAAACCTATGTCAGACAGCTACGACCATTTCTATGGCTCGTGTGCTAGAATCTAGTCAGAAATAAGAACGATAACTGAGACACATAGAAGGCCAAATGAGATTGCTGAACCATTGACTCAACACTTTTTCCACACACGTCATCTACCCATATGCCAGGAATTCTTCAAAGGAAAAATAAAGGAACCGATCATGAATTTTATTGCACTAAGCAAACAAACAAAAGGACATCGAGAAATGATCACGGTATCGCACATCCTTGAATTGATAAATGAAAAAAAAAATGTTTGAAAAATATCAGATCATCCTAGAATGAGTCATCTATCTAACCATGTATGGAAGCCATTTTAAGAAGCTGACTACAAGTAGCAATATCACTCATAATTAACACAGACACGTACTGGACAGCTGAAACATGGCCAGGTAACATAACCAAGTCAAACAATGTTCAAAAGAAAGGAACTTCAAAAACCGATTGTATGTTCATGAGGTCAAGGATTCCACAAAACAAAAGCAGTTGGCCAACAAAGCAGACAACTGTTTATCCTCCTCCTGGATGAGGGAAAAAAGAAAAACCGAGAAAAAGAAGGGGGAAAAAGAAGGGAACAACATCCCCCTCCCAAATAGACACGCAAAAGACTCCCTTTCTCAGTTTTATCACTCAAGAGGCCTCAGAAAGGACCATCCAGAAAGGAGGTTCTCGAAGTGATAAACACAAACCTAATTGCTGCTTGTATAAAAACATATCTTCTTCTTTTCCATTTCCTTCAGACACCTATTAAGAGGATCCTTCAGACACCTACTAAGAGGACATAAAAAGTTCTTCCGACAAAAAGAAAGCACCTAAGACACCATGCTAGTCGCAATCGTAAGAAGTTTTATTTGTTATAAACCCTGCCCCACAAAAAAAAAATTACCACCATTCATTCTCTCTCCTTTGCAGCTGGTCAAGTTTCTCCATTACTCCTTTCTTCAAACTTCTGTGTACAATTCATCAGGAATATCTATAGGCACCTCCTCTGTTCGTGTATTTATGTGTGTTGCTTCATGCTTTTGTCTATGGCTCTATGCATATGAAAAGGAAAGGAGAAATACCTGAAATGAGAAATACCTGAAACACCACCAAAAGAGCCTCATTTATCCTTTCATCAACCTGAAACTTGCATAGTGGTCAGGTTAAGAAATTGTCACTGAAGTTTTAGCCTAAGGCACTCTTGCTACAACCAAAGGAATCCAGTAACGACTGATTTTATAAAAGAAGCCCTTCTCTGCATCTTTCTTTCTTTTTTACTTTTTTTAAATGAAAGGTAGTGCTAGTGGACTTCATCTGAAACCTTAGGTGCCTGTAAAAGGGCCTTACTTTGGTTTCTCTGCATCTTTCTTTCTTTCTTTTTTTAATGAAAGGTAGCGCTAGTGGACTTTATCTGAAGGTGCCTGTAAAAGGGGCCTTACTTTGGTTGCATATATCCCTTCAAAGCTTCTCTTCAAGGTTGCAAGAGAGGAGCCATCTCTTTCAGAGGAAAAACACTTCCAATATGCCTCCTTATATTTTAAACATTCTCATTACGAGACCTCACATTAAACATAAAAAGAACCCAAAAGTTTGCTTCCCATAGTTTTGCATAGAGTTATTTTGAAAGACATTTTCAAATCTGTTCCCACCTACCAAACTACATGGTGGTCACAAATGATTCACTCTGTTGTATGATCCAAATTATGAAATGCATGTGGTATAAAATAAATCGTCCGCAAAAGGCTTCTACGCTATCAAATCGTCACTTTCGTGCTATATTAAATGGTCATTCAAATTCAAGCTATTAGATCAATAATAAAAATAATGAAAAGTGCATCCGTCCAGCCACAAGTTGCGTACAAGTATAAACATCAAATCTCTGAAGGATATGGATTATTAAAAGGTCAAAATATGTAGCAATAAATAAACAGGATTTGAACTTTGACACATCAGTACATCAGGTAGAATTAAATTATTGTGTTTCATATGGAAATGAGCTTACTATTTGGCCAATAGAGCATATATATGGTTAAATTGTCTCAATATATAAGATACTAGAACAATATATTTACCTTACATGATTAGCAATTAACATAGGATCAAGGTCACAGCGCACATCCTTTAAATCTGATGACCATTTCGCTGACAAAACTCCCGTAACTATTACGTCGTCTAAAACAGAAAAACTGATCGCTCGTCAGGAGAAATGAGTATGAAACCTTGTGGATACAGTTCTCAACAATAAGATCCAACAACTAAATTGAGTTTTGAAAAAAAAAACATAAACTCATCATGATAATTGTTATGACTTTTTTTATAATTAGATAATCATAAATAGAAGAGATAGATATAATTTATAATTCACCATCTCCAGATCAATAATTCAAGCAAACATGAACATGGGACTAAGTTCAGATTTAGTGCTTTCTGCAGTAAAGGTGGTGAAGGCACCTCCTCTCAATTTTTATGGGACGAAATCCCTCCTTGATTGGGACTTCTCTACCTTTAAACCACTGGCCAGCCATAGTGATTGACCTTCGCATCTATCTTAAGATTTTGAAATCATATTATGAATTCCAGTCCTCAAATATGATTACAATATTTGCAAAATAAATACCAATTTAAACCTGAGATTTTGAATCACAAAAATAAGTGCATTAAGCAAGAACTTTGGGGTGACCTTAAGATAATGGATCATGAGGTAACAATCTACATCAAGTTAAACTTAAAACTCCCTCACATGGAAAATACCCCACCGTAACATAACTTGCCTGAAAACTAGAACAATGGGGGAAAGGATGTATTTAGTTGCAGATTATAATATGTCAATCCTCGTATCTCTTCGATCTCAGTGCTGACACCGTCAATTAAAAACCTTTTGTGTCTTGACCAATAGTTTTAACTTTTAACTTTTGGATAAGATGATAGCAATCATAGCTTAGTGTGCCATTGAGCTAAAGATGGACCAATCCTTGTTTGTGGATGCATAATCTGTTAAAATGTTTTTGTAGAGAAAGTTAATCGAGAATGTGTGCTTGCTATCCACTTCGGACCATATGTGTGTGCATTTGGGAGGAAGTTAATCGAGAAGACGTATTTGTGTATGAAGATGTATTTGTGTATGCAGTCTTCAGCATGCATACAAGCTCTGCAAATGTAGATGACAGATGGATGTCTCTGTGTGTGTGCATGTGTGCATGTATGTGTGTGAATGTGTTTTGAGTGACAAATTGATAAAAAAAGGTGTTTGTGAGAGATAGAACAGCGGTTAATTGTATAAGATGGATGATTCAAGACCAATACCTCCAGCTTTAACAATGTCAACAAGATCATCCATTAAAATAACAGGAATTGAGCGAGGAATTGATCCCACTCCCAAAACCTGTGTACTCTCTTGGATTTTGATCTCTTGATAATCGTGGCATACTATGCTGTCTGGTACAGATTGGAATTTCATTCCCTCACAAAATTTAGACCCCTGACAAACAAAAGGTTTCAGTATAAGTCAGAATATGTACATACAACCACCAAGATGCTGAATACCAATTACCAATTAAATGGTAAAAAGACTTGAGAAAGAGGCTAATTTTCCTATTTTGATACTCACAATGTGAAGAAACATGGTAAGAATAGACTGGCACTGGATATGATTACCACTATGTACAAAGAACATCAAATGACTAGCAAAAAGTATACCAGAAAAGGGAAGTGCAGATTGTGCAATATAGAGGAAGGTAAGACAGGACCATTACCTGAGAAGGGCAGGTGTTTGGAAGTCTTATAGAATTTCCAGTTTCTAGCTCTGGATGAACTTTAAATCTAAACACAAAATCACGGAAAATAAGAACCAAGTCAGAGCTCAAATCAAATAATGTAAATAAAAAAAATTACATAAAGTAAAGCAGATGTCAAATTCGCATCCTTGACCAGTTGAGTGCCCAATTAAGCATTGATGTGATCATTTGTGTCCTCAGAGCATATATCATTAATATAAAAGGGCATTAAGTTCATTTTACAATAGATTATGAGGAAACCATAGCAAAAATATTCGTTCAGAATAGCAATCACAGTCCATTCTCAATCAGTTACTTTCACTGTGAACCATTGGATAAGTGGTGATACGACAAGGATAGTTCAGAAATTAGAAAGTCATACATTCTCTTTTAACTCCAGGAAACAAGAAAGGTATGAGATTATGTAGATTCTAAATTCAAGTAGGTTCATCTAATTACCCACGTAATCCATGTAATGTAAAAATAAAGAAGGAAAATATTATTACCTATATTTACACCTGCTGCACTGATACTCTCGTTCCCCTTCAATCATCTTAACAGTTCCCGATCTAATGACTGTGCCCTTAAGAGTAAGAAGAACCCCCCTATGCCTCACCCTCACCTTCCCAATGCTAGGAAACGTCTCTGCCACCATTATAACAAGTTTTCCAATCAGAAATAATTCAGTCAAGAACTAGATTTCAGAAACCAGATATTCTTTATCACTAGAGTTCCCAGAACAAGTTGCAGAAGAAATAAAAATAATAAATATTTTTCGTAGAGAAATTTGCTACAGATGATTTAGATAGTCAAACATGTACACAGCAATAATAAACGTTTGAACTTTACATGTTCGTATACTTTACGAAAAACTAGAAATTTAAACACAAAAACATGTGCTAATTAGCTCAAAAATGGTACACAATCATAGAGTTTAGCAAACTACGAAACTAAATCAACATTAGTAACTGAGAGAAGCACTAATAATTACAACCTACGAACTTTGGCAACCCCTAGAAAATAATCTCAGCTTTATCCCCCTCAAAATTTCACAATTTCACCCAAAACTAACCCAAAAAGAAAATGAGGGTTTCTCACTGAGATTTACAAATAAGTAGTAAATCAAAGAATGAGAACATGTATTAATTAGCTTAAAATGGTCAAACAATCCTAGAATAGAGAAATCTAAGAAAATGAAATCAATGCTAGTAGCTCAGAGAAGCACAGATAATTATACCCTGCAAAGTGCAAACCTAGGATAATGCTCGACGAGAATCTCAAATTTACCCCTTCAAAATTTCACAATTTCACTTAAAATTAACACGGTGAAAGAATATTACGGTTTATCACCAGGTTTTATGAGAAGTAGTAAATTGAAGGTTAAAACGTGTATTAAACTAGCTCAAAATGATGAAATAATCGCAGAACTGAGAAAACTAATATACTTAGATCAATACCAGAGAAACACTGATGATTACACCCTTGTGAACTTAGGCAAACCCTAGAATCAGCTTTACCCCCTTCTAAATTTCACAATTTCATCAGAAATTAACCAAATTAAGAAAACTAGGGTTTCTCACCAGGACATTCCAAAGGGGACCCACTGACATTGATCCTCACATGGACAAACTCCTTCACGACCGCGCTCTTCTCCAAATCCTTCGATCCATCAAGAACCACGCCCTAGAATTTTGAGTAACAAATTAAAAAGGACCTGTGAGTAAATTCGACCAATATTAGCGTTTCGAAATGAAATTATTTCGTTACCTGAGAGATTCGAGCGGCTTGGTCGAACTTCGGGAGGAGATGGGAGGGGCGAGAGAAGAGATCGTGGGCGAGGGGAGGATCGGATTCTAATAATTCAGCAAAACTGCAAAAAAATGGAGAAAATGGGGTTAAAGTGTAAAATAGGAAAAAGTGAGGGGCTGAAGTGAGAAAAAATTGTACTCGACGATGAGAGAGTAGTGGAGGACGGGATCGGGGGAGAGGAGGATCGACCGGAGGTCGCTGACGTGGCGGCGGAGGAGGAAGCGTGCGGAGGAGTCCACGGCGTCATCTTCACGCGGAGGCATCTTTTAGGCGGGAAAATTGAGGGAAGAAGAACGAGGAGTTCGAAGACAGAAAAAGGAAGCGGATGGCTAATGTGGGAGGCACTTAATATGGGCCGATATTGAATCCATTTACTTTTTTACCCCAATACCCAATTAAAAACTTGATATGGGCCGATTTTGTAAGGACAATTTTTATAGGCAAAAATGCTTCGAGCCCCAAAAGCCAAGAAAACGTGCTTCTCACTCTCAAGACTTTGTCAACAGATGTTTTGCTCCCAAAATTAAAGAGTTTGTTCTCTGAGCCCCCTAAACACAAAACCCAAGAGATTAAAATATTTGAAGACCATAATACCCTTCTCTCTCTCTTTATTATAATGTACTAAGATGATAGTTGAAATGACTGACGGAGATTATTTTATTATTTTTATTTTTTATTATTTTTCGTTGTTGATGAGGGGGAACTAATTGTTTGTATTGAGAGATTGTTAAAGTTAGGTGTTAATTGTTAAGGTTACAATTTAATTGTTAAGGTTACAGGTCAATTGTTAAGGTTATAGATCCATTCTCTCTCTCTCTCTCTCTCTCTCTCTCTCTCTCATGATGCTAATGTGATGATCTTAAAATGATTGAAGGGGATTGTTCTTTTATTATTTTCGTTTTTTATTATTTTCATTATTTATGAGGAAACTAATTATTTTTGTTTGTATTGGAATATTATTAAGTTTACGGGTTTAATTGTTAATGTTATGAGTCAATTGTTAAGGTTACGGGTTTAATTGTTAAGGTTACGAATTTAATTGTTAAGGTTACAGATCAATTATTAAGGTTACGGGTCAATTGTTAAGGTTATGGGTTTAATTGTTAAGGTTACGGGTCAATTATTAAGGTTACGGATTTAATTGTTGAGGTTAAGGGTCAATTGTTAAGATTACGGGTTTAATTGTTAAGGTTATGTGTTTAATTGTTAAGGTTATGTGTTTAATTGTTAAGGTTACGAGTCAATTGTTAAGGTTACGGGTTTAATTTGTTAAGGTTACGAGTTTAATTGTTAAGGTTACGGGTTTAATTGTTAAGGTTACGGGTCAATTGTTAAGGTTACGGGTGTAATTGTTAAGGTTACGGGTTTAATTGTTAAGGTTACGGATTAATTGTTAATGTTATGGGTTAATTGTTAATATTACGGGTTTAATTGTTAAGATTACGGGTTTAATTGTTAAGGTTATGGGTCAATTGTTAAGGTTACGGGTTTAATTGTTAAGGTTCGAGAGAGAGAGAGAGAGAGAGAGAGAGAAGGGATCCATAACCTTAACAATTGACCCGTAACCTTAACAATTAAACCTGTAACCTTAACAATTGACCCGTAACCTTAATAATTGACCCGTAACCTTAACAATTAAACTCGTAACCTTAACAATAAACCCGTAACCTTAACAATTGACCCGTAACCTTAATAATTAAACCCGTAACCTTAACAATTAAACTCATAACCTTAACAATTAAACCTATAACATTAACAATTGACCTGTAACCTTAACAATTAAACTCGTAACCTTAACAATTGACCTGTAACTTTAATAATTAAACCCGTAACCTTAACAATTAAACCCGTAACCTTAACAATTGACTCATAACCTTAACAATTAAACCTGTAACCTTAATAATTAAATCGTAACCTTAACAATTGACCCGTAACCTTAACAATTAAACCCGTAATATTAACAATTAAACCCGTAACCTTAACAATTGACCCGTAACCTTAACAATTAAACCCGTAACCTTAACAATTAAACTCGTAACCTTAACAATTGACCCGTAACCTTAACAATTGACCCGTAACCTTAACAATTAAACCCGTAACCTTAACAATCTCCCAATACAAACAAAAACAATTAATTTCCTCATCAACAAAGAAAATAATAAAAATCAAAAATAATAAAATAACAATCCCCTTTAATCATTTCAAGATCATCACAGTAACATCATGATAAAGAGAGAGAGTGTGTGTGTGAGAGAGAAAGGATCCATAACCTTAACAATTGACCCGTAACCTTAACAATTAACCCCTAACTTTAACAATCTTCCAATACAAACAGTTAGTTCCCCCTCATCAATAACGAAAATAATAAAAAATAAAAATAATAAAATAATCCCCATCAGTCATTTCAAATATCATCTCAGTACATCATGATAGAGAGAGAGAGAGAAGGGTATTATAGTCTTCACATATTTTAATCTCTTGGGTTTTGTATTTTAGGGGCTCAGAGAACAAACTCTTTATTTTTGGGGGTAAAATACCCGTTGACAAAATCTTGAGGGTGGGAAGCACATTTTCTTGGCTTTTGGGGGCTGGAAGCATTTTTCCCAATTTTAAATTATGTACATTTGGGTATCTAAATTCCTATTCAAAGCACGATCATAGCTTGCCTCTAAAAAAAATAGGACAAATTTTCAAAACTAACACATTTAGAAGCTTTAAAATTTGACTTATTTTCAAATTATTTGTCAAAATTAATCTAGTTTCAGTCAGTTGGCTGAAACTGAATCGATTTTGATAAAAAAACATTAAAAAACTTTACAGGACTTCAAGTCCCGTGAAGTTTAAGCCCCCGCTAACAAACTTGATTAGGTGGGCTATAAGTTCACGGGACTTGAAGTCTCATGATTTTTTTCTGCCGCCAACTTCATGGGACTTTAAGTCTCGTAAAGTTCATAATCATAATCCTTTCACTTGACAAGCCAAGATTAAGAATCTCCCAAGCAGTCTTGGGTCAGTCCCTCTCCCTGGCTTTCATCCACAACACCCTCTGTAAGGACCATGAATTTTTAATACCAGTTAAAATAATTTTCTAGTATTTTAAAATATTTAATTATGATTTTTAAAAGAGTATTTATATTTTCTCTATTTTCTAGAATTTTCTATGATTTAAAGTCCAAGTTTTATATTTATTTAAATGGTTTTAATATTTATAAATTAATTTAGTACAGTGAAAATTTTTGGAAATTATCCGTTGTGTTATGGATGCTATTACGTATTATTTAAAATAATACGTTGTATTAACATCGATGTTACATATTATTTCGTATAATATGTTGTATTGTTAATTAGGTATTATTTGTATAAATTATTATATTAATTTTATTGTTGAATATTATCTGTCGTAATAGCATAACTAGTACGTTTTGATTTGTAGGTATTTATCCCATAATTATTTGATTTTAAATGTAAGTAAATATACTTTTATTAATAATTATTATTGTTTAATTATACAATATGGGTATATTTCGACTATTTCGTATCAACTGTTGTATTAGCACAACATGTACGTTTTTGTTTGTAGATAATTATTCTGTAATTATCTTAATTTTTAAACATCAACAATTATTTAATTTTAATTAATTTTCGTTTTTCAAAACCCTAATATATATATATATTATATATAATATAGTATATTATATAGTATATATATATATAATATATATATTTATATATATATAATATATATATTATATATATATATAGTATATATTATTTATTTTCTTCTTTTTCGTTTCTTCCCCAAACTTCCGCCGCCCTCAACCTTACTTTTTCCTCCTTTCCCAACACGACAACTGCCGGCCCCTTCTCGTTTTCACCCGACCCCCGACCCCGCTCGACGCGGGCGAACTCCAACGCCGCCCCCACATTCCCGTCGCCCTGAGAAGCCCCTCGCGCTGCGCCGTCGAACACCAGCGCCTTTCGAACGCTCGCCGCCATCCCCCTCCTTCCCAGATCCCCACCGCCCCGCCGCTTGAGCGCCGTTCGCGTGCCTTCCTTCGACCCAAGAGCCGCCGCCTGACCACCTCGCCCCCGCAACCCCTGAACCTCGCCTTGCCGTCAGTCACCGGCCGCTCCAGCAGCAGCCGACCATGAGTCCGCCAGCGCACCGTTCACAGGGAACCCTCTTGACGCGCCTTCGGCCTCCTACAGCCGCCAGCACCTTGGCTGCCATCGCTGACGAACCCTCAGCTCCGGCCCGCTGCCCGACGCCCCTCGCTAGCCCAAGACCATCGCGAACAGTCCCGTCGCCGTGAGCTTTCCCGCTCAACCCCCGACGTTCAACATTTCCCATGCGTCATCGCTGATATCGCCGTCCAGATCCACCGTCAATCAACTCTAGATTCGCCGCTCCGCCCCATCATCGTCGCCTCGTCGTCAGACCCCACGGTCTCGCAGGCAAGATCCTGAACCTTGATTATTTTATTTTAATTATTAGTTTATCGTAAATTATTATGTGTCTCGTTATTCAATTTTTAGATCTGTTATGAGTTAATTGATTAGATTAGTCTGTGATATATTATTACCTGCGTGGGATTGCTTGACATGAATAGATGTGTGAAAGCTTGTTGTTATCACCTAGTTGTTATCCAATAGGAGAGACTGTACATGAAGACGATTTCTGTTAAAAGTATGATTTATAAGCGTGCTTCAAAGCATGGCTATACTCGCTCGACATCGATATCCCGGTGTGAGGAGTCCCGAGTTCCCTCGATATCGATATCCTGGTATGAGGTTTCCTTGATTATTATTATTATTATAGCATTGACTACACGATGCACTCTTGATCGGACGTGTTACGAGTCACGGTTATGTTCATAGTTTTACAGAAATCGTTCCACGGTAACTCCGTGGCTAGTGCATAATATTTCATGTACAGTTGCGTAATTAATATGACAAACATGGGGTTATAAAGGGGAATTGGACGGAGAATATAACATGTATATAAACGGGCACAGCGCTTTCTTGTTATCGTGATATCGTGAGTGTTATGTACATGGGCCAGAGGGCCAATACTTGACTTGAAGGCGGCCCCCGGACGACTTTACGGGGACCCGATTATATACATCAAAATATTCTTCCCCAATTCAAATAACATGTAAAACATGAATAATATGCTTGCGTGTCTTATGGTGGACTTTGTTGGTGTTATGAGATGTAGACTAGTTGTATTTCTTTTCATACATAGATCGAGATTAATATTTAATTATTTATAATTCAAGACATATGGTATATACATGAGGGTTTCCTTGTTT